GGTAAAAGATTTTCCACATTCACTGCATTTATGAGGCTTTTCCCCTGTATGAAGTCTGTGATGATAATAAAGAGTGGAGCTATGGGTAAAAGATTTCCCACATTCTCTGCATTTATAAGGCTTTTCTCCTGTATGAAGTCTGTGATGATAACGAAGTTCAGTGCTCTGGATAAAAGACTTCCCACATTCACTGCATTTATAAGGCTTTTCTCCTGAATGAATTCTCTGATGTTGACAAAGGATGGTCTTAGAGGTAAAAGATTTTCCACATTCACTGCATTGATAAGGCTTTTCTCCAGTGTGTACTCTCTGATGATATTGGAGACCATTGCTCGTTTTAAAAGATTTCCCACATACAGTGCATTTATAAGGCGTTTCTCCTGTATGAACTCTTTGATGAAAACGAAGGTGAGTGCTCCGGGTAAAAGATTTCCCACATTCACGGCACTGAAAAGGCTTTTCTCCTGTATGAACTACCTGATGATCACGAAGGCCAGTGTTCTGCGTAAAAGTTTTTCCATATTCACTGCATTTAAGAAGCTTTTCTTCCAAATGAAGTCTCAGATGTCGATGAAGGTGGGTCTTAGCGGAAAAAGCTTTCCCACATTCACTGCATTGATAGGTCTTTTCTCCAGTGTGAACTCTCTGATGATATTGGAGAGCACGGCTACTTGTAAAAGATTTTCCACATTCACAGCATTTATAATGCTTTTCTCCAGTGTTACCTCTCTGTTGAAAATGAAAACCAGAAAATTTGGTAAAATATTTACCACATTAAGAGCACACACAATAACCACTTCCAAGATGGACACCGTTTTGCTGAATAAACGTGTGGGAGCAACTAATGTATTTCCTATATTCTTTTCTGCTGAAATAATTTTTTCTCTTTTGAAATGCAAGCCCACGCATCAAAATAGCATTTGAACTGTCAAAGTCTGAGTATGAGTAGCCTTTAGGTGTACATGTCCTGACCCAGTAAGGACAACCTGCCCAACATCCCTGCATGTGAAATGATTCTGGGACACATTGAACTTCCAGTTGTTTGCAAGTGACTGCCTTTCCACACCTCTAACGAAAGTCTTCTCTCTCACAAGCTGCTGGTGAAATTTTGCACACAAAAAAAATCTTTTTGCACAAGCCCCACACCTCAACAGTATTTGTCTGTGTTGTGTTCCCTGGAGTTTCATAACGTGGAAAACGCTTCCCAGGACTAGCCCACAACTCTCACAGGGGTGGCTCCTCTGGGAAGACAAGGGTAAATTGGGATTCCTTGCCTGTGACAATCTTCCAGAACCCTTTTGTTCAGTCGGGACCTCCATATTCTCTTCTCCACAGCAGCAACCTGAACAAAAGGAAACGTAGGTGAAGTGCATGTTGACCTGATAAAAACAGAATATCTTCAACACAGATGTTTATCTGTCATGTCTGAACATGATTTTTTTAAAATATATTTTATTCATTTTTTTACAGAGAGGAAGGGAGAGGGATAGAGAGTCAGAAACATGAGAGAGAAAGATCGACCAGCCGCTTCCTGAACACACCCGCACTGGGGATTGCCTGCAACCAAGGTACAGGCCCTTGACCGGAATTGAACCTGGACGTTTCAGTCCACAGGCCAATGCTCTATCCACCAAAGTGTAGAGAGGTTAAGGTTATCCATGGGCTGGGAATCCGAGTAGAATGATCAGTATTAAAACTGAAAAGTGTCAACATTAAGCAAGAAGAAGTAGAATTGGGTGAGGAGGGGCAATGGTAAGACAACATTGTTGAAGAAAATGGGTTCCTAGTTATGAATGTAACAAAGCCCAGGCGTGAAAACTGCGCCTACAGCCCTTCACCAAGGCAAGACTGCCTCGGGGTCTAGCCCAGAGGTCCTCAAACTACGGTCTGCCGACCACATGCAAATACAAACATTGTATTTGTTCCCGTTTTGTCTTTTTTACTTCAAAATAAGATATGTGCAGTGTGCATAGGAATTTGTGCATAGTTTTTTTTTAAACTATAGTCCGGCCCTCCAACAGTCTGAGGGACAGTGAACTGGCCCCTGGTTTAAAAAGTTTGAGGACCCCTGGTCTAGCCTGTCGTTGATAAAGTCATGTTTCTCCTGTGATGCACAAAGGATTCTGCCTCTTAAATCCCAGTTGAGCCACCGCATGGGATAAATGATGCACATCTTAAAAGAAAAACTAAAAAGATGGATGGTCAGTGCTGTGGTAGAACAACAAAGCACAAAGGAGATCACAGACAAAAGACCTATGTGAGTGACATCACCAAGATGGCAGAATGAGAGAGAAACTTTCCCCATCCCAGAGTAAGTAGACAGCTATCCATGAGAAAAACATCCCACAGGAAATGGGAATAACAGTACCATGAAGACAAACAATAATACTAAATACCAAATAGGGACAACTGCATAGAAAGGAGGACAGGAAACTGGGTGAGGAAGCACGTTTGAGAATACCTAAGGTCAAACACAAGGGTTAAAAATAACTAACACCGAAACCGGTTTGGCTCAGTGGAAAGAGCATCGGCCTGTGGACTGAAAGGTCCCAGGTTCGATTCCGGTCAAGGGCATGTACCTGGGTTGCGGGCACATCCCCAGTAGGAGATGTGCAAGAGGCAGCTGATCGATGTTTCTCTCTTATCGATGTTTCTAACTCTCTATCTCTCTCCCTTCCTCTCTGTAAAAAATCAATAAAATATATTAAAAACATAAACATTAAAATAACCAACGAACTAATTAAATAAATAAATATAGCAAGGGTCAGCCCTAGCTGGTTTACTCAGTGGATAGAGTATCAGCCTGGGGACTGAAAGGTCCTAGGATCCATTCCAGTCAAAGTCACAGGCCGAGTGTTTTGTGGGTTCAGTTCTAGTAATAGGGCATGCAGGAGGCAGCTTACCTGTGGTACTCTCTCATCATTAATCTTTCTGTCTCTCTCTGTCTCTCTTTCTCTGTCTCCCTTCCTCTGAGAAATCAATAAAAATGTATTAAAACAAAAGTGTTAGTCCTAGCTGGTTTGCTCAGTGGATAGAGCATCAGCTTTTAGACTGAAGGGTCTCAGGTTCCATTCTGGGAAAGGGCACATGACTGGGTTGTAGGCTCCATCCCCACTGGGGGGCGTGCAGGAGGCAGCCAATCAATGATTCTCTCTCATGATTGATGTTTCTATCTCTCACTCTCTCTCCGTTCTGAAATCAATAAAAAACATATTCAAACAAATAAATAAAAATAAAGGGTTAGCATTACCACTATCAGCCACTGTGCTTCTATTCTCATTCATCCTAGTGGCCTGTTCTCTAAAAAAGTGGAAATTTTTTATTTTAAACACCACAGAATGCCCTGGTCAGTGTGGCTCAGTTGGTTGGAGCATCCTCCAGCGTATCAAAGGGTGGCGAGTTCCATTCTCGGTTAGGGCACATATCAGAATGAGGCTTTCATATATGGTTTGCATGTGTGCAGAAGGCAGCCAGCCGATTGATTTTTCTCCCCCACCTCTATCTCTCTCTCTCTTTCTCCATTTCTCTTTCTCTCTATGTAAAAGGAATCTAATTATATAAACAGCTAGGGGCCCTGGGGGTCTAAATGACCGAACTGACAACCAAACACTGGAAGTCAATCCGGACCCAGCACTGACTGCCGAGGCTGGAGGGCCGGCAGCGCCAGGCGGGAGTCAGACGTGGGAGTCAGTCCCGGGAAGGAGTCAGTCCTGGATCATGTAAGTGGGAACCGTAAGATATAGAAAGAAGGAAGACCTATCCCTCCACCTGGGGAGATATTGGCAGAAGAATAGTAGGGAGCCAGAACTCCCACCATCTCATAACAAAACGATTAACCATCTCTCTACCCCACCCTCCAACCCCCCACCCACACACCTACAAACCTTGGACCAAGTGAGGAACTTGGACTTGTACTCTCTTCTTTTTTTTTTTAAAGAATATATATTTTATTGATTTTCTTACAGGGAGGAGGGGAGAGGGACAGTGAGCCAGAGACATAGATGAGAGAGAAACATCGACTCAGCGGCCTCCTGCATGCCCCCCACTGGGGATGTGCCCGCAACCCAGGCACATGCCCTAGACCGGAATCGAACCTGGGACCTTTGAGTCGGCAGGCTGACGCTCTATCCGCTGAGCCAAACCAGCCAGGGCTGTACTCTCTTCTTAAAATAATGAGGTGGCATCTCACCCTTTCCTTACCAGAGCAGTAACAAAGCAAGTCAGATGAAACGGGATTCAAAGTATCTAGAGTTTCGTAATGCTCAAAATTTCTAGGTGTCAATTATCAAATTAGTCATACAAAGAAGCAGAAAGATCTAAAACTGTATAACATAGATAATAGAGACTAACACTATTAGTGATGATAGTTATTTGATAATAAGTTTAACACTGCCATCAAAACAATCTTTACATGAGTGATTTTGAACATCCTTAAAGGGGGAAAAAAGCAAGTTATGGCAAGTAAATAGAAAGTCTCAGCAAAGAAAATGAAGCTATAAAGAAAAAACAGATGAAAATTATAGTACAGAAGAGTATAACTGAAATAAATAACTCAGTAAATAGGCTCAAAGCAGAAAGGATAAAACAGAGGAAACACTCAGGGAACTAGAAAATATAACCATAAAAATATCCAATGAGAATACAGAGAAAATGGGCTTGAAAACAGCAACAGAAAAAGATCAGAACCACAGGAACCAGTGGACTAATAACAACAACAAAAACACCACAAAATAAAACTAACATTTGGAGTCCATGAAGAAATGAAAGAAGATGCAGCTGAATGAGTACTTGAAGAAATAATGGCTGAAAACTCTTCCAATTGGTCAAAAGAAAAAAACCCT